AACTAGTGATCCTTCCTCTTTGCTCCCCACCTTTGCATTCCAATCACCAGTACTTATCAATACATCTTGATTGCATGTTTGATCAATTTCAGATTGAATAATAGTGGTATGAACTGGTCTTCCTTGTAGGCGCATGGATATTATCCTATCACAGACAGCGTTGTACCTCATGACTGATCTGAATATGTTCTTTTTGACAATGAATGCAAATCCATTCCACTTCAATTTGTCATTCCTGGCATAGTAAACCATGTGGTCATCAGATTTAAAATGGCCAATACCAATCCATTTCAGCTCACTAATGCCTAAGATATCAATGTTTATTGTGTGCCATTTCATTTTTGACAACTTCCAGTTTTCCCAGATACATACTTCGTACACCCATGTTCCGATTCTCCATGTATGCTTACAGCTGTTTCTCTTCATTTTGAGTTGTGCCCCATCAGCAAATGAAGGTCCCATGGGCATTACTCCATTCTCGTCATCATGGTCAACTCTGCTTTGAGGAGGTGGCTCTTCCCCAGTTGCATTTTGCCTTCCAACCTCTGGGGCTCACTTTCCGGCACTATATCTGATAGTGTTTCTCTGCTATTCATAAGGTTTTCAGTGACTAAAGATTTGGAAGTAGTTCATCACTCTTTTTTCCTAGTCTGTCTTCGTCTGGAAGCTCATCTGAAGCCTGTTCACTATGGGTGACTCTGCTGGTGTGTAAAATACCAGTGGCATAGCTTTCAGAATCACAGCCACCTACAAGCCACCACAGTACAACAAACTGACAGACAAGTGCTGGAGCTTTAGGTGTAGTATCTTATACCTATAGCTAGCTTATACCTAGCTATAGGTATAAGATATTAATAGTTGAGTAGTCATGATTAGGGTGTAAAAAGATCAGAACAGTGATCTGTGAGTTCATTAAATATTTAAAATTTAGAAAAAAAAATATACTTACCCCATTTGGATTGTCGACCCCAGAAATGATGGTATGCAATAGTCAGCAGCTGCCAGTGTGTATGGTGGTCGAGCAGCAGAATCGTCCCAGTAAATGTCCTTCTTCATCTTGGGTAAGCTCATGTGCATTTCATCCACAGCTAAAAGAGAGACCTAAAATCATTGTTAAAGTGTTAGAATAATTCAGCTGTGAATTGTGTAAAGAAACAGGAATGCGTTCCAGTGGGTGGATGGGACTTGGAATGGGATAGGACACAGTCTAAAAGAGTGAACATACAAATATCCTTGTGTGTTGACACCAGTGTTGCTTCAGAGAGTTGTACAAGGTGCTGCACAAGAGTACTTGGACACAGAGGTAAGCAGGAGTGTAAAACTGTCCACATTAGTTTTATCAAACCATGTGCCCATGAGTGGGGCTGCACCTTTTCTGCAGAAGCACCTTTTTCTATTTTGATCAAAATTGCCCCATTGTCTAGTGGCTACCTGACATTCACCAGACTACTCCAGATGTTACAGAGAGGTGAAAGAGTACCAATATTCCATTGACCCCCATATACTTGACATTATTTTGTATAAACTAATTTTTTTGGTTGGTGTGTATGGAAAAGCATATCTGTACCGCTTGGTGTTATGGTGTGGTTTCTTTTGTTGGTTTTGACAAATTGATGTGTGAATAAAATATTAATCCTCTGTGAGTCCAGTTTTTGAAAATAGTGTGTGGTCTAGGTATTATTGTCTTCCCCAAATAGACTGATCAGTGAAATACCTGAGCCTCTTTAAGATCTGGGAAAGAGCTCTTTCAGGGCTTGAAACAAATGAACAAAGTGAAGGTCTGTACTCAGTAGGGTGGTCCTCAGCGATGGGAATAGTCTAAATCCTGAAAGGAAAATCCCCCATTCTGGTTCTTCATGCAAAGTCCTCTGACATAGTGTTCCCTGAATAGGGGACTGGGCTTGATTTGGTATCAATCTAGCAGATTTGAGACCCAGGCAGTTTGTTTCAGGGCCATACTGTCCAGCTGCTAGCGACTGATGTGATTTGCAGTTGGGAACTCACATCAGATTATGTTTGTCTTCTGTTTACATCACTGTTCATTTCTCTGGGAAGCCATAGAGAATGGAGTATAGAATGAATTCAAACAGTGCTCTGTACTGAGATGGAAGACTGCATAGAGCTAATAAAGAAACTTACAATTGGCTAGAAATTTTTTTTTTAAGAAGAGACTAAATTACACTGAAACACAGACCTGTGACTTGTGGGGTTACCTCAGAATGGAGACAGCAAATTGAAAAGCACATTCCTTGTATTTATTGCTAAAAGATAGGAAGTTCAAATCCCAAATTCAGAGTCTGTTTAGATTTGTAACAGGACAGTGATTTACTATTAATCTTTGTAAATGAAAGAAAAGCTCCTCTAACCTGCAAATTTCTATCAATGCACCAATTCGTTTCAAAATCATCATCATCTTCTCCAAAGGGGTTGATAAGCTGCTCAGCTACCTATAGTTGAGAACAGAGAATAAATCAGTCACGATGCTTCTGAAAACTAAGAATGGAGATTGAAAATCATCCCCATTTTATTGTTTGCTTTCTTCTGTTACTTTCATAATATGAAGTCCAGAGGAGAGTGGGTTGTTGATAGACACACATATTTGTCAGCAAAGTGAGATTCAACTTTCAAACCTACACAGGCATGCTCTCCAAATGAAGCAGTCTATTCAACTGGTGAAAATGCAGACCCCATACTGCATTTTCCTGGTGTGTTGCTATAGGATAAGCAATGGACTGCTAACTGAAAAGCTGATGGTTCAAACCTACTAGCTTCTTCTAGGAGACCCTATATCACGGTGCTCTGAGTTGGAATCGACATGACAGAATTTAATAACATACTGCAGGAGAAGCCATGTTATTATATGTAAGAGCAAAATGATTGACTTTTAGGTACACATCAAAATCAAACCAATGAATATTGAGAAGTACAGATTACAGGTAAAGTGCTTGGAGCTGTGGGCTAAAGCACTGGACTGTAAGGTTGGTTTGAACTACAAGGTCAGCAGTTCAAATTCACCAGCCATTCTTTGGAAACCCTATATATAGGGTCACTATGAGTTAGGACTGACTTGATGGCATTTAACAACAACAACTGTGCTAAGCATTTTGAGGGTACATATCTCTGCTCTCAAGAAATTTATAGCAAAATGAAATAAAACATGAGGAAGGTTAAATGGCCAAGAAATTTTAAAGAAAATACTGTAAAGAGATTTCACAATTATTGGAAACTGCTAAATGAGTTAGTAAATCGTAAGGCTGGAATTAGAATCCTGTTTAGTACTACTTTAAGAGTTTATTGTTAACCAAGAAGCTAGTTTTCTTGCTTCTTATCACAAATCTTGTAATATTTGGTCAATATCACCAGCTTCTGGAATTGAATGCCTTTTTAGTGAGAGGCGTATATGCCAAATACATATATTATTCACCTGTCATTCTTGCTTTTAAATATTTTCCTTTAATTAATTAGCATTTGTAGTTACTATGTGTAGTTGTGTACATTGGGCAGATGGGAAAAAAATAATAAAGTGTATGATATACAGGCCTGGCTTGATTAGTCCAGTTTTTAGTCTGAGTCCATTCAGTTAAAAATCTACTCATTTTTATGATTTAACTCAAACTGCTTAGAGAAGTAGTTTGCAACATAGGCAAAAAATCATCTGGGAACTTAAAACAAACAAAAAATGGATACCTGAGTCCTACCCCCCCAGAGATTCCAATTTGTTATATTTTTTTGCACCCATGTAAATAAGTCCACTAACATGCATAGTTGTTTCTACTCCCGTAAGGATTTACACCCTCGGAAACCCTATACAGGGTCGCTATGAGTCGGAACCGACTCAACGGCACTTAACAACAACAACAACAATATGCATAGTGTGCAAAGCAAACTAAGTCTCCAGGGGGTTGTGTGATTTGAAAACAAAACAAAACAAACAAACCTCTAGGAAGTATTATTTGCATAAAAATACCATACTTGATGTGGGGTTGAGCCCAGGTATCAGGATTATTGAAAACTCCCAGGAGCTTTTAAAGCATAACAAACATTAAGAACCACCTACTAGGAGAAACGGAGTCCTGGTGTGGCGCTGTGGGTTAATGTGCCAGACTGCAAAGCCATTTGAACTGCAAGGTTGGCAGTTCAAGCTCACCAGCTGCTCCTCGGAAACCCTATACAGGGTCGCTATGGGTCGGAATCAATTTGATGGCACTTAACAACACAACAACAACTAGAAGAAATGAAGTCCTGGTGTGGCACTATAGGATAAGCCCTGGACTGTAAGGCCTGTTTGAACTGTAAGGTGGGTGGTTCAAACCCACCAGCTGCTCCTTGGAAACCCTATACAGGGTTGCTATGAGTTGGAACCAACTTGAGGGCACTTGACAACAACTAGGAGAAGCACATCGCCCATATTCTAAAGTAACAGCACTAGGGACCTCCTGAGCTCCAAACCAGTCAGCCACACAGCAGTATCCATGTCAAAGCCCTTTATTTCCAGTTCCATGAGGCTATTCATGGAACTGGAAATAAAGTTTCTTCATGGCTGGAGTGTTGCTTATATTAAATGGGTCAGAAGATATTTTGTTATATCTACACTTTCACTTTTATGGGATCATTCTTGCATAGGCTATCATGTTGTTGTTAAGTTCCTTGGAGTTGGTTCCAACTCACAGAGACCCTGTATAGGGTTTCCGAGGAATGGCTGGTGAGTTTGAACCACCAACCTTTCAGTTCAAACCGACCCTGAGTTTCAATGCTTATCCTTCAGCACCACACCAGGGCATAGTCTGCATTAACGTTCCAAAATGACACCTACTTTTCCAAACTATCTCACAATAATATCCTTTACATTTTTGGAGGCTATATTTCTAGCAAGTAATGGAGTAGTATACTGCTCATAAGGTTAAGATAGATTTTCTCCACTTTGAAAAGATTTATCACTCTCAGAATGGTCAAGATGTTTAGAAATTGAGACACAACTTGTTGATGTGGGAAAACTCAGTTCTGTGAGGGTTGTTTATCTTAACAGAGTGCTTTTCATATTTGGTCTTTCAAAAGTATCTTATAAGTTAAAAGAAGTTCTGGTGTGGTGCTGTAGAGTAAGCATTGGACTGTTAACCACAGGTCAGCAGCTCAAACCTACCAGCTGATCCTTGGAAATCCTACATAGGTTGCTATGAGTTAGAAGTGATAACACCAGCATAAATGAAAAGGATGCGAATGTGTTAGAAAGCAGGTCAGATGAAAAGAACTGCTAACTGGCCAAGCATTCCCCACAGACACAGAGCCAAAAAGGAAACAAAACAGTGCAGTACAACTTAGGGGAAAGGAGAGTAAAAGACCAGAATGATGAGCACCAGTTTTGGTGACTTTATGTTTATAAAGGTAGATGAGAAATGAGAGCAATTAGTCTCTCTTGCTCTTTGTCGCTTTTAAATGAGTAAAAATAATTAAAGCTCACTGTCATCTAATGTTAAATGGTTTTGGCATTTACTAAGGGCATGCCTTTATTCTTTGGAGCAGAATATGAAATGCCAACATACTTGTTGTTCCTGGTTCATATCAAACCAATGAAAGCAAAATCATCTCAAGGGAACATGTTGTCTAACTGGGAAGGCTGTGACTATGCACAACACGTGACCATTGGGAAGGTCAGACATTTGAAAATTCTATTATACTGAAGTCATCTTCAAACTGTCATTAAATCTCAGCTAACAGAATGAAGCCATTGTCTTTTATTTTTTTGTTTTTTTCATAACATTTCCCTTTTGGAACTTGACAAAAGAGGACACACTGTGAGAATTATGTCCCTGATATTTATATACACACACATCTTTGGGGATCATAAGGAGAGAAAAAGAGGTGGTGGTGGGAACAAATAAAATTGTACACTGAAAACTGGACAAACTGTTCTCACTGTTCTGACCTGTTTTTAATTTCTTGGCAAACCAAATGCCACCGTTCATCTTGGTGCTTCTGGTTTTGATTCTGATTCTTTTCTGGTCTCAGTTCTAGTTTTGAAATGCAATGCATTTAATGTTGTGGGGCAGCTTATAGAATTTCAGGGAATTGTAAATCACTTTTACAGATTTGAGCCAAAACAAGATAATAACATTACCTTAATGCTTAAGTCATATATACTTGTACAATGCTTGGTATTTACTCTCACTCGATGTAGTTGCTGAGTGTGATATAAAATATCAATGCAAACACAGTGTATTGCTTTAATTACATCGTTGTAATCCTAATGGGAGCACACACATACGAAACAAGAAATCAATAGCCATAAAAGAGTAGTCTTCTTGTAATCTCTGTGTATAAACGAGCTGCTTCAGACAGCTGCCATGGACTACTCACTACAACCCTGCCACTTTAATCCTTGGCTGCAAAACAAGCTATCACATGTTAATGAATGATTTGCTAAAGACTCAGTAAAGGATCAGTGTGGGGACATTTGGAACATGACAGAGATTACAGAGCAGGTCTCAGACACTGAGACCACAGGCTACCTTGAGCCATCCTGCATAGAAGAAGAACTGGAGAAGAGTAAAGATTGGAATGTACAGATCTAAGTCATGGCCTGCATAGCCTTTGGTGGGATCCAAAAACTGGCGTCCAATCAGGCATGCAAAGAAGAAGGTGTAGACAGCAAGAGTGACAACCTGGAATAGAGAGAAACACGAGTGAGAACATATTGCTGGTCACCCACAACAAGCTAGAGAGCCAAGGTGGGCACGGGGAAACCCAAAATCACATGAAAAGTATTCGCTACCTGGGTGTAAACCAGCGGAATCCCAACCCAGTCATAACCGAACAAGAGGCTACACCAAGAGCGGTATCGGTTCATTTCCTAATTTGGAAACAGAGAAAACATGGTTTACTACAAAGGATGTGGTAATGAGTATATACTGGGCTTCAGAATGTGGGCACATCATTTATAAATGAGATGAAAGGCTAATAAACTGGTTCTGAAGGTCATTATATAGGGAAAGTTCCAAATATGACAAACAGTGAACGTCACTGAACAATATTCATGCATACATCTCAACATATTTTTAAAATAGTAAAATAAGTCAGACTTTTACACAAATATTTCCTATCATATTTAATCCATAATTTCTTGGCTAATGTTGATTGGTTCAAAGGGATGTTGGAAAGGTAATGGTTAATATTTTAAATAAGTAACATTTAGCCACTTTGGTAAATCATGTGGAAGGCAAAGTATTTTCTGTCCTTACAGCATGCTTATCATAGGTCTTAGAAAACAGAAGTAAACATATCTTAAACATCCTCTTACAAATGGGACTTTAGAACAGTCACAATGACAGAAAATCTCTCTTTGGATCAGGAAGAACTGGGTCCATCCCCCCATTCCCCTTTATCAGACATATACTATTATCTAAAAAGGAGAAAAATAGAATTATGTTTGGTAGCTAGTTTTTAATTACTCACTCCTTTTACCCTAGTCCAGGCAGGAGACTGTGATGGCTCAAATTGATCCATCCCTCACACAGCACTTGAAGGCCAACTTGGTTCTCAGGTGATTTGAGGGTTATTTTGTTTAGGAAAACCACCATTTTGCTTTTGAAAAGGTGGCTTAACCTTGGCATACTGTCAGTATTGGGGAAGTTTATTTCTACTCTGGGTTTTTTTTTTGTGGGAGGTTTATTTATACTCTGGATTTTATTGTTGTGTCCCAGAGCCAAGGATGGCAAATATAATATGAGTATGCCATATCCTTCTAAGACTTTGATGATATTGCTGATCAATCAAGGTGCACTTTCTTACAAAGCATGGTGGTTATGTGTCGTGGAGTGGGTTCCGATCCTGCATAGGGTTTCTGAAGCTGTAAATCTTCACAGGAGCAGAAAGCCTCATCTTTCTCCCATGGAACAGATGGTAGTATAGAACTGCTGACGTTGAGGTTAGCAGCCCTGTTTAAAACAGAACTTCTAAACAATTACTACAAATTAGTCTGTGTATTATCTCTGTCCTATCTGTTGGGGATTCTAATACCAGCCCTATCTTTCAGGTTTCTTTAGAATTAGGACTGAATAAAGCAGGCTCTCCCTGCTTTATTCAGGGTCTGCCCTGTTATGTCCAGGCCCTCTTGACACTTTAATTAGCACCTCTTCCATCTGAAATACTTACAGTCATCAGTGATTGCAGATCAACACTGTCTCTGATTCTACCTTCATTCCGGGCTTTAGTTGCAAGATTTCCAAACCAGATGAACGGAACCCAATATTTCAGATGAGGAGACTTGAGATGGTCGAATAATTTTCTTTCATCTGTTGTCATAAATCCTTCGTACAAAAGAAACATAGCTAAATTATACAGACTTGGATTAGCACTAAAACATTATTGTAAGTATTTTAGTGTCTTGTTGTTGTTAAGAACCATCGAGTTGGTTCCGACTCATAGCAACCCTATATAGGATTTCTGAGGAGCGACTGGTGAATTTGAACCCTATACAGGGTCTCTATGGTTGGAACTGACTTGACAGCACTTAAAAACAACAATCCTTAATAAAAAAGGCCAGTAGGAAGTTGTTGTTAAGTACTGTTGAGTCCATTTTGACTCATAGCGACTTGTATAAGGTTTCTGAGGAGCAGCTGGTGAGTTTGAACTGCCGAACTTGTGGTCCAGTGCTTATCCTAAAGTGCCACACGAGGACTCCCAGTAGGAAGTAAGGAGACATTAAATGTGGACTAGAGTAGTTGGGGAGGTTTCTACTCTAGGTTTTGGTTACTAATTTAAAATTGGGAGCAATATACTTAGATTTGTTAGGATTAAAATATGAAATATGCTAATGTATGTAATTAAGAATGCTTTGAGGGACAAAGAATATATTAAACTTTATAGTCCCCCAACATTTTACATAGGTTTTAAAAGTGCTTCTTTTATTTAACATATACAAAATACTAAATACATAATTTTTTTATTGTGAATTCAGTGAAAGTTTACATGGCAACTCATTAGTTTTACATTCAATAAATCATATTTTATTTCATTGCAATGATTATAATGTCTTCCATGTACTATCATTTACCAGTATTTACCTATTTCCCCTTTTCTTTTCTTTTTTTTCATTGTGAATTGAGTGATAGTTTACATGGGAGAACATCGATTCTACACTCATCATTTCATTGCAATGATTACAATCCCCTCCATGGATTATCATTTACCAGTATTTACCTATTCCCCCTTTTATTTAAAAATTTTTATTGTGAATTGAGTTATAGTTTACATGGGAGAACATTGGTTTTACATTCATTGCATCATTATTCAAAAGGATTTGCTTCTATTCCCTATATTTTTTTGTTTTTGTTTTTGTATGTACACAAAAACACTCAGGAATATATAATCATTTAAACAACCAAAGGGCACATTCTGCAATTCCCTCTATTTTTTTGTTTTTGTTTTTGTATGTACACAAAAACACTCAGGAATATATAATCATTTAAACAACCAAAGGGCACATTCTGCAAGCCTGCCTCCTGGCTGCCATAACATAGCCTTTCTCTTTCCATAAGTCTAGAGTCCTCAGCTGCTCTATCTCTCCATGTCATCATCTCTGTCTTCATCTCTGGTGTCACTGCTTCTCTGGATAGGATCCCACATTCCGCTGGTGCTCTTCTCCCTTGATGGTCCTAGGGTCACCTGTTTCTGGACTGTAAGATTAACTACTACCCCATTTTTTGTTACAAAATGTCTCCCTTTACAGTGGTGACAGTTGCAATTAGTCATGATAACAATTACTCACTATTGAATCATAAGAATCTTTTCCCCATCTCTTTTCACCATACCCATTCAGACAATATGAATACTATTAGTGGGTAGTCTACCTTCACCCGCACACTCTGAAACTAAACTCCCTCTTGAAAACTTGTAGGCCAGTTGCTTCATGCCTTTGTAACCCACCATTTAGGTAGACAATGTATAAGTTGCCCATCCCTATCTACCCTGTATACTGAGGAGATAGGATTAAATACATAATTTTTGGGCTTGCAGTAACCTATCTAAACCTCAGTCTTCTTATTTAAAAAAGAGAGATGATAATATCTACTTCCCAGTAATGTTCTAGAATTACCTGTGATGGTAAACTTATGTCAAGTAGTTAGCATAATATCTATATTATGTGAAACTTATTTTACCTGAACACATGAAGAAAAGAGGAGATGTGAATAACAGGAGAGGAGGAATAGGTCATAAATTTAGTTAATGGATATTTATTGAATGTCTACTATGTACCAGAGTTTGTTCACACAATGATGTATTTTAAAAGATCACAGTTTATACTTGATTATTTTTAGTAAATTTGAATGAGCAATTCAAATAGTACAAAAATCCAAAAGGTCTAAAGGAATTTTAATGGGGAGAGTAACTCTCATTTCCCTAGCCACATAGTTTGCGTCCCTGAAGAAAATCACCATGAGTTTTTATATATCTTTCCAGAAAAATCCCGTAGATTTTCACATAGACCTAGATTTTAAAAACATTAATAACAGGGGACTTTAAAAAGTTTGTGGAAAAAATGGAATTAAAAGATAATGGAATTTTCCCTTGAATTTTTTAAAGCCCCCTCACAGTTTTATTCTACATATATAGCTGCCATTTGGTTCTATTTTTCAGTTTTATCTTGAAGATTATTTTCTCTTAATATGCAGAGAGTAGCATCCATTTTTTAGATAGCCGTATCCCAGTTAATTGTATACCATATTTCATTCACCTAGTGATCTTACGTTACATTTAAGTCTTTAAGAAGTTTTTGCTTTTAAAAAGAATGCTGCAATTTTCATCCTTGTACTTACCTCCTTTGTGCTGGACTGCAAGGTCAGTTTGAACCACAAGGTCAGGGTTCAAGCTCACTAACTGCTCCTAGGAAACCCTATATAGGGTTGCTATGAGTCAGAACTGACTTGACGATGCTTAACAACAACAAACTTACCTCCTTGACCTTAAGTGAGCTTCTAAATGTTAACTGTATGATCTAGTATTAATCATAGTATCTAATTAAAAGCCTTAAAAATTTATTTTTGTTAGATAATCATTTTGAGTTACTTTTATCTCAGAAATGCAACTATTTGTTAAGAAATTCTGATCACATGTTCATATTTAAGTCAATTTTTGCCCCAAGGAAACACATGTTATGTTTTTAACTATTTCTAGTCAGTTTATAAGGAGCCCTGGCAGGGTAGTGGGTTACACATTGGACTTCTAACCATAAGGTCAGAAGTTCGAAACTACCAGTCACTCCATGGGAAAAAGGTGTGACTTTCTGCATCTATAGACATTTGCAGCCTTGGAAGCCCTATACAGGGTTGCCATGGGTTGGAATCGACTTAACTGCATGAATGCAGCAGCAGCAGTGTATATATTTAGCAATTTTCTTTCCTTACTGTGTAGATAAAGTTTTATCTAAGAAGCAGCGAAAAGAGAAGTGGGACATGGCCATTTTGAGAGCCATCGACTCAACGAGCTTGGAGTTTCCTAGATATTTGACATGAGCTAGGCCAGTGTGAGTCAGTAGATCTGGGTGGCACTCAGCTCCCTCATTTAACAAGTGTCACAGATGATTCTAGTACCCATGGTCCATGGAGGATGAAGTACATGGACTATGGTTACTAGAATCATCTGTGACACTTGTTAAATATGGAGGGAGCTGAGTGTCACCCGGATCTACTGACTTACATTCACTAGGGCAAGAGTTCTCATTGTAGGTTTGCCCATTAGAATCTCCTGTAGGTACTTTTAAAAAATACCAATGCTTCCTCTCCCCCCATCCCCACTATCGCCCAAGATTCTGGTTGAATGGTGAGGTCCAGGAATCAGTATTATCTGAAATCTTCCTGGTTCGTTTAATGGCATGTAGTCCAAACAGATTTATGATTACTAAGCTCTACAGGAAATTCTGACATGTGCATACATCAGTGTTTGAAAATTTGTGCATAACTGTATGATGACTTAGTTCATTCAGTATTTGAAATAAACAGAGTAACAAATACTTAGTCAATATTTAGCAAGAGAAGATTATTTTGAGATAATACTCAGGCTATTTACACAAGCTTAGAAGAGTTCTGCTCATGCCTGGAAAATGGAACTATCTCTAGAGGTCAAGAATCAAAATGAGCCTGGTAATTCTCTACTTGTTTCTCAGTGCAGTCTTAAAGTTGTGGTATGATCCCGATAATCTGCTTTAAAAAAAAAAACTCTTGCAGAGCATGATTAAATTTTATTTCAAGAAGTTAATAGATAAACTTGACCTGTTTTGACTTGATGCTTGAAGACTTGCTTCAGCTGTTCTTGCTTTAAATGAAAACCTTTTCTCAGACATTTCCTATCGCTTGTCTATCAATTCCTGGTGTTCACAGTGAAACTTTAAAAAATGAGCCAATTTGTGCACTGGCTGCAATCTCTGACACTGGCCAAAGAATAACTTTATCTCCAGTTTTATTTTAAGCATGGCGCTGTGGGTTAATGCGCTGGACTTCAAGGTCAGTTTGAACAGCAAGGTCACAGGGTCACTGTGAGTCGGAACCAACTGGACAGCACTTAATGATAACAACAGTGGATTCAATTGTGCTAGCAGGTCCTTTCATGGCTTTGAAGCAGAAAACAAACAGCTGTGGTGATGATGGCTTATTTAGTGCCAACACTGATGCCCTCGCTTGCATACAGCATGCCCACTAATTGAAAGGTAATGTGTAGAGGGAGAAAGCTGAAGATTTTCAGCTTTCAGCCCAAACTTACGAACTACATTGCTAAGTGCTGTGAAAAATTAATCAGAAAGATACATCCTCAAAGCAGCCACAGGCAGGAATAATTTTTGTTATTTCCTACAGGGTCCATGTCCTTAGAAATCAAGTTATTGGACAACTAAAAGAAAATGTCTAGATTGTTGGTAAAATAGATTCAAAGAGCATTTGTTATTAAATGGAATGTTATCCTAATCAGCACTTTAGGCCATTTAAGCCAGAGACCAATGATCTTTTTCAGAACATGGGCATTAGCATCTCAAAAACCATGGTAGGTATTGATTTTCTTTCCAGCCAGTGCATCTAAAGTTAGAATTGTTATCGCAACAACAATTGGGGTTTGCTTGGTTGTATTCATGCTCATTAACCGTGTCAGTAAACATTCTAACAGGGCCTCGTCAGGCTCTCTCTAGTCATAAAAAAAGTTCAAGGCACTTCATCTTATGATTCCAGGATGTTTAAAAAAAGTAAAGTAGGCTGTTTCCTCAAATTTTACATCCTCTTAGTTGTTATAAATCGGGCTGCTAACCTCAAGGTTGGCAGTTCAAAACTACCAGCTGCTCTGCAGGAGAAAGATGAGGCTTTCTGCTCCCATAAAGATTTGCAGCCTCGGAAACCCTGTGCAGGATCACTGTGCATTGGAACTGACTCCATGGTACTTAACAACAACAACAAACCACCCTAGTGTACTATAAAACACAGAAGGAAATTATTTTAAAGATGTAGACATGCAAAGTTGTTGTTGTTGAGTGCTGTTGACTCAGTTCCAACCCATAGCAATCCTGTATAGGGTTTTCAAGGAGCAGATGGTGACTTTGAACCAGTGACTTTGTGGTTCAAACCAACTTTGCAGTCCAATGCAAGAATCCACAGTGCCACACCAGGACTCCAGACATGCAAGGTAGAGATAGGAAATTTAGCTCTAAATACACATGTATTTGGGCTTGTCTAAAAACGATTAAAGTAAGAAAGGATTTGTCATTTTTTCTGACACTTGAAGACAGAAACCACATCTATTTTTGCTCACAACTGTACTCCGAGTGTTTATCCTGGTGCCTGGCATATAGTACTCTCTCAATAAATCTTTGTTGTATGAGTGGGCATATCACAGGTTTAGCATCAGCTTTGGTAATTTTTTTTTTTTTTTTTAAGAGAAATGCTAATTCCTCATATACCTAAATTTGGAGTCCTGGCATGGTGCTGTAGGATAAGCACTGGACTGCAAGGTTGGTTTGCACCAAAAGGTTGGCAGTTTAAACTCACCAGCTGCTCCT